TCTTTGCTCACGGTATCGAGAAATTTCTACGCCACGTGGTCTATAACCTCACTTTCTCTTACCTCTCTATCTTTGGTCTTTACTTCTTCTCACTAAATCAATTAATTCTTACTCGGGTAGCACTGTCCGACTATATCTACAACAGAAGGGAGTATCAAATCGACTCAAAACGAATATTTCTCTGACAACGAGCAAGTTTATTCACTCTTCCACCATCCACACTCTCACTCTTCTTCATTCGACTAAAAACTGTCGACTAATTAGTCGATAGTACATTGCGATTATTCCCTAGGTAGTCGATATTTTAAATTAGTCGATAGTGCCCATCACTAATTGTTAGTGTTCATAATGAATTAGGTTCTGAAACTTTGGATGATATTCGCTTTGGGTGTGTCAAGTTAGGTGTTGAATTATCATATACTATGATCTGTCAGTGTAACTGTTTGCTGTTTCTTTATAGTTATATTGTTATCGGGAATTTATCGTTATTAAATCACGCCTAATCTTGTAGGTAATGATCTTGTCTGCTGGTTTTTATATGTTTCTAATTTACGATGTTATCTAGGGAGGAGAGATATCTTGGCTAATGACTGTAATTGATTATTGAAAGTATTCTCTTTATTCAGCAATTAGAATATCTGTTTTGTATAACGAAAGGCCGTAATTTATTTATTTCCGATATCAACCAGTCTCCTTTTAACTATATTGTCGGATTATTTGCGACCAGAATAGAAATCGAATTTCTGTACTAAAGAGACTCTATTTCCGTTGGTCACCGAGGAGAGATTACTAAAGAGTGGCAACGCCTGTGTTAACGCGCGGCCCGAAAAAAGGGCCCAAGATGGCTCGAATCCGCAAGGTAGATTCATGAAATGCCACAGAATGACTGCTTCGACGTATACCGACGTTCAGACTCACCGATGCCGGTGTCGATGTTTTTTTTCCAGCACGGTAGGTAATAGGTAACCGTAGAACGCTGACATTATCAATCTTATACTTGTTTCGAGATTATTACTTCGGAAATAGATTACCCATCATTTTCAAATTTTGTCACACTTGTATTACTTTATTTTCATTAGTGCACACCATATTTTGTATTTGAAGCAAGAATAAAAGTAAATGGCATTTAATATCTTAATTAATATCACTGTTTAATTGAAATTAGTTTGTTCATTGTTGTTATATCTACAAAATAGCGTAATTCGTGGTATACATTGTAAAAACAGAATCTTCAATGTTCAGTTCATGGTAAATCTTAATCATTGTTGTTAGGATTCGTAATATAAAAGTGGAAAATTAAGTTTCTCATGTAGTTATTGGATAATAGTTTTAAATTCTGATATTTGCTACTATTACAGCCTACTTTAATACATAGCCATGCTGAGAATAAAATTGCAACACCGCGGGGGTCCGAATTTCGTGAAGTGCAACCACAGCTGACCATGGTCGTATATACAAGTCGGCAAACTCTGGTCAATTCTGGTGGTGGGGGTACAGTTCTTAGGAGTTGCCAATCAAGCTTTGCTAATTCGCCACGATACGTAGTGCACTGCGATTGAGTTCAGTTGCAAGTGTACACAGTGACTTCGCAGCCTTCAGGACTTGATTGCAGCGCGTGGCGATCAAGTGGCGACTTTTATAATTACAACTGTGGCAAATAAGAGCTGTACCCCCACCATCGGAGTTTCCCGAACTGTGTATACGACCGTGCATCAGGGGTCTCAGAATTTATCCCGCACGGCTCGCTTCCCCTCTTTTTCGCCCGTATTTCGATTCCCACTACTATTCTCCTCATGCGCCTTCGCGAAGCGAACCTATCAACTTTCAAGTACCAGTCCCCACCATGGTCGCGTCGTTCCCACTTTCCGGCCGAGGGATAAATTCTGAGACCCCTGCCGTGCAGTTGACCCTTCGACTCTCTTCGTGCGACCACAGTCGGCTGTGGTTGCACTACACGAAATCTGGGCTCTCGTGGTATTGCCATTTTATTCTCAGCATGGCTATGTATTAAAGTAGGCTGTAATACTAGCAATCTCGTTCATATTATTTATAAA